TATGCAGTTGCGAGCGCCGTAAAACCTCTACTAAAACTAAATTAAAACCGACATCTTTTGTGTAGCGGTTAGATGCTTCGCTGTCGGACGCAGGAGACTGCAACTTCAAGTTCGATTCCCGGGTTTGGGAAGAAATGTTATCAAGTATCTCGGTCTCTCTGCTGGGATGCTGTATCCCTCTTATCGGAGCCTGCCTCTCCTAAATGATTATCTAAACTGTGTCAACCAAAGTTGAGTCGATAGTGTCGTAAAACACCTACTCGATAAAAAAAATTGAATCAAAATTTAAACTGTGTCGATGTACAGTAAAAAAAAACAACTCCAACCCAATATACATTTTAAAAAAGCAAAAACAACAACAAACAAAATAGCTGAACGAAGTACATTACAGCATATTATGTGGCCATGAGGCACATCAGCGTCCATGTCACTCTACAGTAACGATATATCCTGCTGCATGCTGGTGCCGCGGTGCCGGGTTATCTGTCGCTGGCTGTTATCTCATGGCGATAGTAGTATAATATGTACCATCACAATCTGACATAGGCTGGACTGTACGGCTTGGCAATGAGTCGCTTTAGCAAAATCCGGATAATATGTTAGTGCACCTCTTCGGCAAATAATAAGAAATGAATCGCTTCGGCAAATGGGTTAGAGCCATTTCGACAAACGGGTTAGAACAACTTACTTCAACAAATGGGTGCAGCCACTTCGGCAAACAGGTGACGAAAGAAAGTTTGGAGTCTGAATTCGGGTAATGTTTCATTGAGAATTATCCGGTTATCCTTATAGATTATCCGGGTTTAGCCCACCTCTACCGGACTGTCCGACTCGGAAACTGAAAGGATGTCGGGACCACCCCACTGAATCAGACGTCGTCGTCGCGTTCCTAAAGATTTCGCCGCCACTTAACAAGGATAGGCGAGGGTGGTTGGCGGGTGTCGTGGTGTGGTTTGCTAAAACTAAACAACAACAACAACAACAACAACAACAACAACACGAAGAAAAAACTATGCTGTCTCATTGTTGTTGTTGTTGTTGTTGTTGTTAGTTGTGGTTCTGGCCTTACTTCCTCCGCCCCTTCTCTCT